TGATTCACAAACTCAGTAAGCGGTCAATTTCCCCTTTTTCTATTACCATATTTCTTAACGCCTATATGATAATCAGCAGCATTTGAATTATAGTACGAACTCAGAATCCCAGGAAAAATAACCCAACTCGATCAACAAGTACTAGATAAGCACAAATGAATGTACTGCATTTGGAATCCGAAATCAAGCAAACAACAAGTACAAAGGAATCATTAGTTCATTCAAACACCACATCCACTACAGCTTAATTTAGAGTCTCAGTGTCTGTAATCGATTGTATGTCTTCTTTTTAAGTTCATCCTGTGTATGTCCGACAGTATATTGGATAAAGACTCTGTATTATCTAGAATGTGCTCATCAGTATTGGAATTAACAACCGAAATCGGAACAGATTCACCTGAAATTGTATACAATCAGCATGTCGGTTGTGTACTGAAACCGCTGCTACCTAGAATTTGAACCACAGATTCTCCAACACTATCCATCCCCCACGAAATAATGTTGGATCTTTATATCCCCAAGTTATGAATAATGTGGCTTCATTTAAAACATATTTCTCACATTGGCTAAAGTAAACATTAGAAGTCTTTTTGTGATAAGGAAAAACAGCAGTTGATATGAAATCAACCGAATTGTAATCAAGATCGAGGTCATTTAGTACTCGTGCTTCGCACTGAACAAGTTTTTCACGAGGAACAAATGCATTATGAGGATAGGTAATATATGATATGACATCAGAATTTGATTCTTCTGAAATATTTTCATGAAACTCATTAAGAACGTCATTGCAGAGTAAAGGATCATTAGAAAAATTAGCATCTATCAAGACTGCCTCAGGTTTTCTATCATGACTAGATTCATTCAACATATTTTCCTCAGATTTGCAAGGAATTTCGTCAGAAATAAGTGAATCACTAGAAAAAACCATATCTGATACAATAACATGAGAAATCTGATAAATCGACTGATTAGAAACTGTTGTCTTGCAAGAATTCTGAGTTTCATTTAACTATGTACTGCTATATAACTCTACACTATCTTTTGAAATCGCTGATGAAGATATATGATCATTATAAATACTCGACGTAGTAGAATCAGACTTAATATTAGTTACAGTAAGATGAACATTAGTATTACAAACTGACTAAATATGTCCAATATCACCACATTTAAAGCATTTAGAATTACGAAATTTAGATGAACGAAATGCGTGGAACCTGCCACATGACAATCATTGACCATAGTTGTGCCCATTTTCGTGAAGGGTATCGCAAATCCTCAATGAATTATCTGCATAGCCTTGAGTATATACTGGATCAGGATGACGTAGTAATGTAGAGGAATTTTTTATATCCTCATTATACGAGATCTTCTTCCTTTACCGCATTCGAAATCTGTATAATTAACATAGTCTAGCAGTAGGTCCTTGAGAGTTGTATAAAGAAGATAAATGGGCTTTTCAGGTAAAGCCAGAGTTCTTAATAAGCTGTATGCTCCTTTTCGATGAATGTGAGGAAATGTGCTACGATATTAATGTCCTCATCATTTTCCTTGGTCGTAGCCCAGAGTTCGAGCCTTTCAAATTAATCCTCAAAAGCTTCAGAAGTTGAATGAATATCTAACTTTTCCATCGCGACGACAATATAATGTTTTGAATTATGGTATGAACTAAGAATCTCAGAAATAACGTAATCAGACCAAGAAGTACTAGATAGGCACAAACGAATGTACTATATTTAGAATTCGAAATCAGGCATTCAACAAGTACAATGGTATCATCATCTCATTCAAACACCACACAAACTCAGTTTGTTTCGTGTATATCTAGGTTAAAATTCAAGACCAATTAAGATGAAAGCGAATCCAAGTTATCTTGGATGACTCAGCTTCCACGAAATTAACAGAACTTTTAAAACTTACTTACTTACGCCTGTTACTCTTCACGAAGGAGCATAGGCCGCTCACCAGCATTCTCCATCCAACCCTGTCCTGGGCAATCCTTTCTAGCTCCGTCCAGTTGTAATTCATCGTTTTCATATCTGCTTCTATTATCCGACGCAATGTGTTTTTTGGCCTTCCTCTTTTTCGCTTCTCTTCAGGATTCCAAGTTAGTGCTCGCCTCGTGACGCAGTTTGACGATTTGCGTAATGTATGTCCTATCCATTTCCATCGTCTTTTCCTAATTTCTTCTTCAACTGGAAGCTGGTTTGTTCTCTCCCACAAAAGGCTGTTGCTGATGGTATCCGGCCAATGGATGTTGAGTATCTTGCGTAGACAGCTATTTATAAATACTTGTACTTTCTTGATTGTGGTTGTTGTAGTTCTCCAAGTTTCACCTCCATACAGTAGAACTGCCTTGACGTTGGTATTGAAGATTCTCACATTGATATTGGTTGAAAGTTGTTTTGAGTTCTATATATTCTTTAACTGTAGGAATGCTGTTCTTGCTTTGCCAATCTTTGCCTTTACGTCTGCATCTGAGCCTTCTTGTTCATCGATGATGCTTCCTAGATATGTGAAGGATTCTACACCTTCCAGAGTTTCGCCATCAAGAGTGATTGGATTGCTGTTCTCCATGTTATATTTGAGGACTTTGGTTTTCCCTTTGTGTATGTTGAGGCCTACTGATGCAGAGACTTTTGCCACACTGGCTGTCTTCATCTGCATCTGTTCGTGTGTATGCGATAGGAAGGCTAGGTCATCTGCGAAGTTCAAATCGTCTAATTGATTTAGAACTGTCCATTGTATTCCATGTTTTCCTTCAGATGTCGAGGTCTTCATAATCCAGTCGACCACCAGAAGAAAGAGGATGGGAGAGAGTAAACAGCCTTGTCTGACTCCGGTCCTTACTTCGAATGCATCTGTCAGCTGTCCTCCATGCACGACTTTGCACTGCAGTCCGTCGTATGAGTTCCGGATAATGTTGACAATCTTCTCAGGAACTCCATAGTGGAAGAAGTTTCCATAATGTCCTCCTATCCACACTGTCAAATGCCTTTTCGTAATCAATGAAGTTGATGCATAGCGACGAGTTCCACTCAACTGATTGTTCGACGATGATCCGTAGTGTTGCAATTTGGTCTGTGCACGACCGATCCTTACGGAATCCAGCTTGTTGATCTCGAAGTTGGGCGTCTACTGCATCCTTCATCCGGTTCAGCAACACTCTGTTGAAGACCTTCCCTGGTATTGAGAGCAGTGTAATGCCTCTGTAGTTTTCACATTTGCTCAGATCTCCTTTCTTTGGAATCTTGACGAATTGTCCTTCTTTCCAGTCCATCGGCACTTGTTCCTCCTCCCAAATCTTTTTGAATAGAAGGTAAAGCATGTTTGTAGTTGCTTCGATGTCTGACTTCAGTGCTTCAGCTGGTATGTTGTCCGGACCCGCTGCTTTCCCGTTCTTGATTTGCCTGACGGCCATTCTGATTTCTTCCTTCGTTGGTGGGTTGACGTCTATGGGAAGATCTGTGTGTGCTGCTTCGATGTCCGGTGGATTCATTGGAGCCGGCCTATTCAGGAGTTCCTCGAAGTATTCTACCCATCTGTTCCGTTGTTGTTGAATTTCGGTGATTGGCTTGCCTTCTTTGTCTTTGATCGGCCTCTCTTGTTTACTGTATTTCCCTGATAGTTTCTTCGTTGTATCGTGAAGCTGTTTCATATTTCCTTCTCTAGCAGCTTTTTCTGCCGTCGTTGCTAGTTTTTCCACGTATTTCTTCTTGTCGGCTCTAATGCTCCTCTTCACTTGTTTGTTTGCTTCTATGTATTCAGCTTGTGCTTGGACTTTCTCTGCTCGTGTTCGGCTGTTGTTTATTGCTGTCTTCGTGTTCTTCCTTTCTTTGATCTTGTCCAGTGTTTCTGTAGAGATCCATTCCTTATGATGGTATTTCTTTAGACCCAGAACCTCTTGACACGTTGAAGTTAATGCTTCCTTGATGCCTTTCCAGTTGTACTCCATACTATAGTTTCTTCTTCTTTCAGTAGATTATGTAAGGCTTGGAACCTGTTGTTGAGAGCTATCTTGAATTCATTGAGTTTGTCAGTATCTCGAAGGAAAGCTGTATTGAACCTTTGAGTGCTGTTTGTACACTTGTCCAGTTCTTTTTAGCTTCAGTTTTAAATTGGCCACAACTAGGTGGTGATCTGAAGCTACGTCAGCACCTCTCCTGGTTCTCACATCTTCCATTGTCCTTCGGAATTTTTCGTTGATGCAAATATGATCTATTTGGTTCTCTGTAGTGTGGTCCGGTGAGATCCATGTAGCCTTGTGTGTAGGTTTGTGTGGAAATATTGTGCCTTCTATGACCAATTTGTTGAATGCACATAGATTTGCAAATCTTTCTCCATTTTCGTTTCTTTCTCCCAGTCCATGTCGTCCCATAATATCTTCATATCCTGTGTTGTCTATTCCGACTTTGGCATTTAGATCTCCCATCAGAATAGTTAGGTCCTTTCTTGGGCATTTCTCGCTGAACTTTTAAAAGCGAAGCTGTAAATCATTCACATAAAAAGCTTTGTGATACTTAGAGATTGACGCTGACTTTATTAGTTGTATTGGACCAAATCAAAGAAAGCACGTAGATCGGGATACAACTACTTAATTCTTGACTTGACTTTCTCAACCAAGTGGTGACCGGCTGAAATACACACATGTGTATACTGTAGACAACTATAGGACAAGTTACTTCTCTACAGTATTGCAATGACCAAATATTGATACACGGTACCTAGTTTGCGAAAGCGTTGTGTTCAGTATAGCACATGTGCCGCAAGAATACTACTACTCTCAGTTAACTGGCAAGTCTTGAAGTCTGCCGTCGTGACTGGTCGTCCAAGTAGCCTTTTACTTGAAATCTTTACCGAAAGATTCATAAAAGCGTAGTGCCCTCTTTTCTTGATGAATTTTAAATATCTATGCTTACATACAGGGAAGTTAGTCAGTCACCGTTACTAGGCACAGCAGCGTGTTTAGTGAAAGTTGAAAAATTAGAGGGACAAAGCTCAAATGGCCGCGATGATCACATCTGGCGCTACGTGACTCTGTGTCACGTGATGACGTTATCATCTTCAAATTATCCGATGCTGGCTCATATATTACAAATTCAGTAATCGCATATTTCATTTCAATGGGCACGTCTTTTTTTCTGCCTACCTGGCAACAACCTCCACTTTTCATTTTATCACGCTAAGACGAATGAGCTGTTGCGAGCAATAGATGTATCAGCGATTGGTGTTAGTATTTTATTTCCTGTGGATTATTGACGAAAACTCTTGTACTTCTGGGGACGGCTGCTTTGGACTTTTTGGTGGGCGATATGGGACTTTTTATAACATTTATTTGTAGAAAAGCTTAAGTGGAACAGAACATTCAGTTTTAACAACAAAGTTTTAACACTCAAACTTGAAGTCACTAATAATCCAGAACATTGGGTTGTGAATTATTTGTTTGAGATCTTAGCTCGAGAACGATTAGGATACACTAAAATAGAGTTTGTCCCAATCGAAGATAGTAATATTAGCAGTTCTCTAAAAAGACTTCAGTGTCCTGATACTCAGTAAGTTCAAACAGAATATTCGTCGTATTGTAGTCAATTTGCATTACTATTATGGGTTTTAACGTCATGGAGTGATTTTTAGCGCTCTCATGAACATTATTGCTTGCTTTGCTATTTAAATGAAAAGTTTTCCTCGTAAATTGGTTAAACACCATGTTTTAGTTTCAGTGCCTTTAATCTAGAACTTCTCATAAGTAACCATTTGGACGAATTACTGTCACATTAGTTTCCAGTCTTAAAACCATAAGTGTTATAATTAGCCAAAATAAGATACATGAACAAGTTGTAACCGAATTGGACACTTCTATACATTTCTAAACTTATCTAAGTTTGCCAGTAGCAAGAAATTTATAGTTTCCAAAGTCCTTTTATGTATAGGCGTTTCTAATAAATAGAAAGAACTTTTCTTTTTCAAGCATTCCCTTCTCTTGTCAGTTGGAGTGCGATCCGAAAACTCAAGTAATTTCTACAGGTTACCCGTTCTCCAGTCTTTGGCCTAAGAATAATCCATCAACTAAGCTAACATTAAACCAGTCACTGCCTTACTATTCCGCTCTTTCAGTTGTATAGCCATAAATGGTTGTGCTATCAGAATAATTTCGTTGTCTCGGAATATTCTGCTTGTATTAATACACTTTACTGCTTATTGCAGGTAAAATACTTTGCCTTATGTCACTAAATGAAACACTGATTGTTGGTTTTCTGTGTCTACAGCCACTTGTTTTGTAACAGTGTAGTGTATTTTAACACTTCTGAGTAACTGAAATTCTACATTAAAAATAATTACACTTACCGTACTAATAATTGCAATCGTTTGGTGGTAAAAATTTTAAAATTTGGTTCACTCCATTGTTTGTACATGGTTTTAGATGTCTAAAGTTACCTGAAATTCATCTTAACTTACTGCTGTGGTTACCACTTGGTGGAAATGTTAAATTCTGGGCAAAACCTTCTTCTGTTACTGACCATGGTCCTCTTGGACCGATTCGTCCTTGGAAACTCCTAACACAAGTAAATATAACATTTTCGCACATTATTCTGTTTACCTATTGGTTTTTAGTTCATTAATTAAGTTTGAAGATCACTTTGAATCCATATCTGTTTTCAGCGCTTTGTTATTTGTAAGTAATCGAACTTTATAAATGTTTGAAGCTTCTCAAAGTTGATACCAAGCTACAATTTCTGCTCGACTAGTGATGCTATCAGTTCTTACGTTGTCTGTACCTGTAGCACTATCAACAAGTGTATGAATCTGATTTTATCCTGTGGTACGATTGTTGGATAGGCTTTCAGAACACTAAGCTACTATACGACAAAATCAACAATCAATATTGTGTGCCTTACCAAAAGCTAAATGTGTTTTCTCAGCTAGTAATAAATAAGTAAACTAGCGAGCTGCATTGCACTGAATAACACTGTTTACATTTTAGTTATACATGTATTTACGTTGCTTATTATCTCCAGTATTTACATAGTATTACCTAACTATTAGTCGGTTTACCCTTATTCACCTAATGCTTTGATTGTTTATGACATGTAGATTACTGTGCTAGCTTATTTCACGCATAATTCAGAAAATCAGTTGACCTTCGATTTTTCACAACTTATAATTCGCTATTAAGAGTCTTCAATCAAGTAATTTCCTTGAGTATATAATATTTATATAACATATTGAGTAAATCCAAAATGTATAAAATACGAATAATTATCAGACTACATAGAATGGTTATCAGTAAGGTTTTTATTCGCATTGATAGCGCTCATATTTTACATCGTTTTTTTCAGTCCTGTTACAACAAATCACATCTCAGAGGAAATCCAAACTACACTTCTCTTAAGCATGATTGTAGCTCACCTATTGACATCGTTGGTCAAAGTAAGTATATCTTACACTAAATTTGACTTATAAAGTTTGGCATAATTTCCTTTTACTTTTTATTTAAATTAGCACAGTTCTCACGTTATGACTGTTTTTAATACTTGTATTCATGATTGGTTGAATAATATATCTTTGTGTTGAATTGTGTTTCTCTAATGTTTTCCATACTTTGTCTAGAAGCTTCACGCCAAGACATTCGCATTGTCTCTCCTAATTTAATATTGTTTCGTTTCTCATTATAGAGTGATTCTCTTCGTATGCCTTATATCATGACGTATATACAGTCTGTCGTTTCAGTGGTATTTGTTTGAATACATGAGTTTATTTATATAAAGTCAACTAACATAGTATGCATGACGTTTGATATGTTAATTTATGTAGCTACACTTCTAAATGGTATAATAAAGGATAACAGCATTAGTGAAAAATAGGTAAGTGAATCTAAAGAAGGAGGATAGACGGATCTAAGATTGCGAAATACTACTATATTTGTAGTAAATAAATCTTCACTTTTGGGATTAAGTAAATCCTTTGGTTGCTAAGTCGTCATATACCTCTCATTTTTGATATCACAGGATATTCATACAGATTAATCTATAGCTGATAAACCTAAACTATGCAAATAAGTTCTTCGATATAGAAGGACTAACTTCTGAAATCCTAGGACTTGTGATTTTCTCCAACTTATATCTAAAGCTTGAAAATATGTGATAAGAGATAGGTTTAAAAATTGGCTGATGATATACCGAACAAATCACTTTGTCGTACTGATAATTAAGGACTCTGCATTAGCATTTAACTTTATTATCTGAAAGCTGATTCAGTGGTCTAACTGAGTTATCTTCCAAGTATCTCACATGGTTGAAGTCTGTACTCCATCATACCACATAAAATAGATGGTCTGCTCAGTAAAAATATTCTTAAATCTATGGCACACTTTATGATTTAGGTAGTAATTCCATCCAGATAATTTTCTGTGGATATTGATCTTCAATGGACTTTGGGTAGAGTTAGATAGGTAAACGCATCTTCGTAGTAGCATTTTTGCGATATGTACTTGACAAATTTAACTTTATGTGATCCGTAAAGTACAGAAATAAGTGCACATTATTTTTATTCATGCAATGAAAAAATAACTTGTCCTCGTTCATGTCACTAAAACACAGAGCAATATGTCAACAGTTTCACATAGGTTCAGTAGTTACTACATAATTCCTCTTAATCTGAAATGCAGATCTAGTAAACCAAACAGATGTCGATATTTGATTAAGTTACTTATATGAATTTTTCATTATTATACTAGAAAAGGTGACTTTTAGACAGAAGTTTGTCAAACTAATAATCGCTACTTGTGAACACTTAAGAACTTGATAATTAGCTCTAAAGACATGGGATATAGGTATGTGTTCTAGCATAGAATACCGATTTGGCTTATTTTATCTTTCAGATTCTGTAAAATTTATCGTATTATATTACATAAGATGACTGACTACATATATAACTTTTTTCCGATCTCGAGTTAATATTTATTTGAATTTTGTCAGTCAGCGAAAATTTCGTCTCTTTAAAAAGTCCTATTTTCCTTTTACCAGACTACTCAGGTCATCGAACGGAAAATGTACATGATTCATATTTATTTAATAATCATACTTTACTCTCTGGGAAGTCAGTAACTATTTTGGATTTTGAATTAAATTCAACATGTTTACGGTATAATTCTTATAGTATTCCTCCACCCCCTTTATGCAGTACTGATACAAAATCTACCTCAGCTAATAGTTATCAATATTGCCACACTGAATCTTATCAAGCTGTTAAAGTGACATGGGCTAAATTACGGACGGCAGCTCCACAAATTTTTCAACTTGCATCTAAAATCTATATGTCTAATGATGAATTGGGAGAATTGGTGCACTCGGTATGTTATTATACAAATATATATATATATATATATATACCAAATAGTTTCTTACTGGTGGACGTATATATATTTGTTTTTACAGTATCTGGTGTTTACGGCTTATTAATGTTAATTATTTCTCATTGTTGATTCTAAATATTATTGTAAGCGAGATCAATTTCGAATTATCAAACCTTTACATTCATGCTTTGTTATTCAGTGTGCACATATAGCTCTATTATTAGTTGAAGTACAAATTAACATCAGTTAGTACCAAATATGATTTTTTTTCCCAAAAACGTGTTTTCTCCATCGACTGCAATGTACATTCCTATATTTTTCCACAGTAATCTAGAGATAGGTTGAATAACACATTTGGTTTAGATACATTGAATTATTATCATTCCGAACCGACTACCCAATTAAAACTTTCTGAAAACTAGTGTTACTGCCGTTATCATAGATTTTATTTCGTCACTTTTAAATTTTCAAAATTTAAGGCATTCTCAATGAAATTTTCAGTTGACTAATTAGTGACAAATCGAAATATTCAAATAGATAATCGAAGTTAAAACTCAGTCAGTCAGCTACAACGTAAGCACCAGGCACATATATGCATCGGTCCAGGTTGACATACCTCATTAGCACAGCAAGATGAACACCGGATTCATAGGAGTGGCTAAGTTAAAGGTGGTAATATATAGGAGAAAGATTGCATATAAAGATACAGTACCGGAATATAGAATTAGTTCGTAGAAAGAAAGATATGAAGCGATTTTAATCTCTTAGTTTAAAGGAAGACAGGGAGTGTATGCACCGACGCCATTGTGATCGATTCTGAGCCATGTCACCGAGAATCTCCAACCATTGGTTACGAAAGTCACGCGGACCCCACCCAAGTAGTCTGCATCTACCAACATGGCTCAGACTACAAGTTAGTGACTTCAAGCACTGATGCCACGTTTTGGTTTGGCCGCCCCTAACTTTCTTCCAACCATTTCCAATACCGGATAGCATTGCACGTCGTGGTAATCGGTGTTCAGGCATACGTAACACGTGGCCCAACCATCTCAGTCGATGAAGATTAACAACCTCATCAACTGATTTACCATCATTAATTAATACCCTGCGTCGAACCTCACTATTACTTACCCGGTGATCCCAACAGACGCCAGCAATATTTCTAAGGCGTCTGTGGTCAAATACTAGTAGCTTACGGGTGTCTTCTACTCTTAAAGGCCATGTTTCGCTGCCGTAAAATAAGACAGAACGGACTGCCGCGCAGTAAACTCGTTCTTTTATTGATAGACGGATATCTCGCCTTCGCCAAAGGTGTCGTAAGTTGGCGAAAGCCAAACGAGCTTTTCGAATCCGTGCTGAGATTTCGTCCGGTACCAGCCCATTAGGGCTGATCAGACTTCTAAGATAAGTGAAGTTGTCAACGCGTTCGACTACTTCACTCCCTATCCTTATTTTAGGTGTTGACGTAGACCAGTCCTGAAGCAACAACTTGCATTTAGAGGGAGAGAAGCGCATTCCAAACATCCTGGCATTGTTGCTTAGTGCTACTAGAAGACTCTGCATTTTATCAGCGTCTTGACCAAACAGGACTATATCATCTGCGTATCCTAAGTCTATAAGTGGACCTCCTGGAAGGAGATCAGTACCCGAGAATTCAGTCGACGAGAATGTTATTTCCATCAGTAGATCTATGATGAAGTTAAACAAAAATGGAGAAAGTGGACAGCCTTGACGGACACCACTTAAGGTTGCAAAAGTAGATGACAGTTCGCCATAAGCTCTGACTCGACTAGTAGTGTTCGAGTAAAGAGCCTTTACAAGGTTTATGTACTTCTGGGGTACGCCTGCCACAGAATCTCGCAGTCTGCCGAGTCAAATGCTGCTTTTAAGTCAAGAAAGACCACCATTGTCGGACGTCGATAAGTATGCCTGTGTTCTAGAACCTGACGAATGGTGAATATGTGATCGATGCAGCCACAACCAGGTCTGAAGCCAGCTTGGTTTTCTCGTGTTTGCAGTTCACGAGTCTTAGTTAGGCGTCTGATTATTGTTGAGGCTAGTATTTTAGATACTATATTAGTTAAACTAATCCCTCTGTGGTTGTCACAGGATGATTTTGATCCTTTCTTGTATATTGGAACGATCAGTGATTGCGACCAGTCAGATGGAATAACGTCTAATTCCCAGATCTTAGCTAAAATATTAGTCAACCTAATCGCTAAAATTGGACCACCATCCTTAAAGACTTCTGGAGCCAATCCATCTGGACCAGCTGCCCTTCCTCGTTTCAGATTAACTATAGCCTTCTCAACTTCAGCAAGAGTTGGGGGAACTACTTCAATCTTCCATTCACGCTGTCTGGGAATGGAGGCTAGTTGTAGAGTCGCTGAAGGCCAGCTGAACTGTTCCCTAAAGTGTTCCGCCCATCGTTCTAAACGTCTGGACTGGGAATAGATGAGAGTATCGTCTTTTTCCGAAATAACCTCACACTTGACTTATTAGTTCCAGTTTTTTTTATTAGTCTGTAGAGCTGTCTTGTGTTCCCTATAGTCGCCGCCTTTTCCATCTCTTTTGCTTTCGTTGCTCACGGTCGTTTCTTAGACTTTTAACCTAGATCTGATTTGTTGTCGCTCTTCATCATGTTCGGAACCTGATGGGACGAGTTTGCGAGAATCCATCAGTGTGATAGACTTTGAAGAAATCCACTGGTTCTTTGTAACTCTGTGGTTTAAGTCACTAATAGATTTCATTGCTGTTTTTATATCTTTCCAATCAACATCTGGGTCAGCCTCGTTTTCAGAACTACCTAAGTGTGACCTCAGTTGTTCCTGGAACTTGCTTTTGGTTTTCGCGTTACTCAACTCAGTTCTAATGGGTCTTTTTACTGTGGCTTTCCTGTGCCCAGTGTGGTGCAAGCAGATGCGTGCCCGTATTAGGGCATGGTCGGAGTCCAAGCAGGTACTCCAGAATGAGCGACAATCTTGTACCGACCCTCTCCAAAAATGACTGATGGCAATATGGTCTATTTGAGTCCATCGTTGGTTTGGTGTAGGGGGTCGCCATGTTAGACGATGTCTTTCCTTATGCTTAAAATTTGTTTGCTAAAAATAAACGATTGTATGAGCATAGTTGCAGCAGACGATCACCATTATCTGTTCGTTGTGCCGTTATACTAAAATACCCACCTAAATGCCTTTCTGTTTGGTTTAAACTACCTATCTGAGCATTAAAGTCACCTGCTACGAGTACTAAGTCTGAACGTTTAGCTTTCTGAAGAAGTTCAGATAGCTTTCTGTAAAATTCATCTTTCATTTCATCTGAGCTGCAGTCGGTGGGAGCGTAGGCAGAAACGACAAAAAGGCAACGACGTGTGTCCCTATCCTTCCGAGTTCTTACGGAGCCGTTTAACCGGACAGCACATAGACGACTGTTGACGGGGATCCACTCTAACAGTGCTTGTTCAGCCCTCATGCTTAGTGCTATGCCTACTCCTGCCAGTCCACGAGAGCTGGCCATCGGGTCACCAGATACACGAAGGGTGTATCTCGTTGGCTCTCCGTTTTGCCGAGGTGAGGTCAAGTGAATGACCACACTGGGATCCTGTATGCGTGTTTCGGAGACACAGCATACATCAATGGTTCTAGCCAAGGAAGCCTGCTAACCGATTTGACATAGGGTGCGTACGTTGAAGGCTCCAATGTGTAGTTTGGAGCGAGGTTTCAGTAGACCTGGGACAGTGTTTTGAGCACTAGAATCGTTGGCTATGGTGACACTTGAGGCGGTAGCCGGAAAAAGAAATTTAGAGTTTGAAGTTGATGTAGGAGTAATAATAGGAAGTGAAGACGGAAGTTGATTATGAATACAGTGGTCTTGAGTGCTGTTAGAGGTATGAGGGCGGCCATCACTTCCCGGTTGCCCACACCGTGGAAGGGTTCTTCTGGAGGTACCTGAAAATGAAATTGGATTAGAAGTGGTCTTAGTGACCAGGAAGCATGCTCGCAGTGCCCAAGGGATAACTGCTTGAGGTCGGTCACACACGACCTTTTTATGGGCAATTTTTGTGTTAGCTCCGTACTTGTTGAGACCTTACCACCGGAGACGGATATCCGTGGGATAAGGCGAGGTGTGCATTTTTAGGGTCGACCTTTTCTAACGCCACCCCTCCTTGTGGGAAGGCAGCATCGCTGTCATGCTGGTTGTCTGAAGGAAACACCTTACTGCTGTCACACCTCTGTACAGTCAGCAGTTCGACTTCGGACCTTGGGTTTGTTGCTTTTAGTCTTACGGCTCTTCAACCGACCTTTCTGACGTGGTAGGACCTTGAGGAACAGTTGTTCCAGTCAGTATAGCTCGGTTGCTTCAGCACGATAGGCAAGCACAACCACCACGTCAAGGTAGCAACAACGGTCTTTAATAATTTTATCATTAATCTACTGTTAAAGTTAACGTTAGCAAAAGAGGCAGCAGCAATTATACGTGATATTTTTAATGATCATCTTTCTAATACTAAAAAGTGTTCTTACCCATTTCTAGGATTCTTTTAAGTATGGAAGTGGTCATAGCATTTCGAATGATATTCAAATTGTTTTTCATTGAATCAGCCAGTCAGTCGCAACATAGAACTTGTACATATGTACATCTGCTCAAGTTGCCATATCTCATAAGCACAGAGAGATAAAGTTTTCAGGCCAAATCCCAGAATAGTTGATGTGTAGTAACCGTATCAGCGATAATAGGAAAGGTTAGGCATCGAAGATACGACTCGGAAAGAAAATGTAAGTGAAATAATAAAAAAACGTCTTGAGGAATTTAGAACCTCAGGATTTTGAAGAACACAACAACAGCAAACAACTTTGAGCCATGTCACTCAAAGTCTTTAACCATTGGTTACGATAATCTTTTCTATTGATCAAAAGGGGAAGTTCCACAATCACCAATACTGTGTGCCATAATTTCTCATACATAAGAATTATTTTGCTACATGGACAAAATCTCAAGGGGCAGTTGTCAAGGTTGTTGGAAGATCATAAAGATACAATAATTATATAGTCTTTGTCATTTATTTTAATAGTTGTGTAATTGTACTTTATATATGATTCCATTTTCTTGGAAAGTAAACTTCTATAGATTGCATGAAATGTGAGTGCTTTAGATAATTATATCATTGAGAATTTAATTGATTGACTTCCTTTATTAGGAGTTAGTGTGGTTGTGACTGGATGGTCAAATTAGTTGACTACTAACCATTAAGTTATGTTTCGACTTTTATCCTAACTTTTTTTAGGAAAGTAAGGACCATCACAATCGAATACATTAAGCTTTTCTGAATCATATTTCTTGAAAAGAGCATGTACTAATTATTTAGAGTAACAGTGAGCAATCCAAGAACATTAACGAATTGTATAAATAAGTAGGTCTTATTTCTTTATTGACTCTTTAAAAACTAAAATAAACCTAACCTTATGTCAAAATGTATCTAAATGATGCATAGGTATTTTAGTTTAGTAGACAAATGAAATATTCATCGAAAGGCTAATTTACTCTGTATGTTTATAACGTAATCGATATCGGTAAAAAATGTAATCAAAAATTACAAACGTTGGTAAGAAATTTTTAAAACGATCAATTCAAATATTCTGTGCAGCAAAGAAATCCAATGTCATTCGTGTATCACAACAAAAGATTTACTGTCGATTCAGAAAAACAATTAAACAACCTTTCTCCTATTGAATACATAATACAATAACCATAATACTGAAGAAATAAACACTTAAACTTAGTGATTGAAACATTTTTACAACAAAATTCAATAAATATTGTTCATTTACCAACCAGTTATTTAGCTTGAATATTTTCAAGGCATCAACTGTTTTCTCTATAGTGAGAATTAGCTAAAATAGATATCAACACTTTAAGGTATTAGGAGGTGTTCCTTCACTTCAAAAGTTAGTGAAAAGGAAATGAATATATATATATATATATATATATATATATATATATATATATATATATATATATATATAATATGACTTACAACAATGAAATAATACTCATCGAGACGCCCTGCCTGTCAGTTTGATTACCATTGGAACCCCTAAATGCCCTGGTACGGCCGAGGGTGGGGAGAGTCAGCTCTTACATTGCCACGCGTATACAGACACTGCTAGGGAAGTCCTACTCACTACTTTCTCGTGACTGGGTTGTTGTTTGTGACATTCAGAGGACGAAGAGCGAACGTCCGGCGCTTTAACCGTGTTTTTGGATATGAGGGATTCACCTAGGGGTGTTGGAAAACCCTGATTCCAAACCAATAGTGCATATGAGCTCCGGGATCATGAGGGAACGAATGGCGTATGAACCAAATACTGGTCACCGGTTACCATGTGACTACATCTCTTAACGTTGCCCCATTGCCTTTTGGATCAGACCTTTAAGTCGAAGGCTCTGGGTATGGGCCCTTAAAAATCACCTGCTTCGGTCTGGGCCCCCGGGCAGTATCGCAGTTCACACACAAATCAAGTGACTTGTGTTGTGCATATGTATTCGGTGCCCCTTTGTACCAATATTTATGTATTCAAATAAATAACTCATCGAGTTGTCACATTTTGTCATAACTATGTAATATCACTGATTTAATTCATCCTGTCACGTAATTCGAATAATCCTACTGAGCAATTTATTTCTTCTTTAAGTTAACACGTAAGTCTCATCATTATTTCCCTTTCATAATTTGTGATCAGGTAAAAAAATTTCCTTTTTTCATTAAGTAATTTTCACAATCATTATCACTAGGTGGTGTTCATTGATATTACTCGTAAAGCTAATGTAAGATTTCTTCGGAATTAATCATACTTTGGCTGTCAATCTATATTGTTTTTTATTGTATCATTCTAATCCGTCATATCACTATCAAATTAATGATAAATGATTTCACTGAGAGTTTGTTATGATCTATCTGTATGACCTTTTCTAGACGGTATTTATTTCGTCCATTCGACTTTATAAAAAATGGTTTCCTTCATTCGTATTAATAAGAAAATTTCCTTAAATTTTTTCAAACTTCTTGTTAAAAATGGTTCGTGAATATGTATTCACGTAATAATTTATTTCTATTATTGTGTTCACTTGAATTTTTTAAGTTTTACATCTCAAGCTTGGATTTTTCAGGTCTCTGAAATTAGATGCTTCCGAAATTGCATAAAATAAAAGGCGGATTTTAGGCTATTTGATTTTGAGCTTTAACAGCCGTGAGATTTAGTAAATGTTTATGCAATAATAATTTAAGCCAAGTTATTGCTGATCTACACCCATTGATTGTGATCATCTGTTAAACCAAAGATGAGGTTCATATATTGTTCAACATGATTCATTGTCTAAATCGGCTCCATCTTTTCTTCAGAGAGCAACCAACACTTACTTGCATTGACTGGGCATACGCAACTCAAGTTTCATTTATGTCAGTTAATGAATATTCTTATCCCAGTCTACACAGTGTATATGTCGTATGTCATATCACTGTTCAATGACAATTAGTACATTTATGAGTTGTATATTCTACTCATTTTCATCAAAAGAAATTATGGAATAGTAGTAGCTACTAACGTTATTGCCATCTATGGAGCAGTATATTTTTGAAATAAAATTCTTATTTATATGACATGGGTAAAATAAGCATTTGATTGGTATTTTTATGTGTGTATAAAATGAAGTTTCCAACTTTTAAATGCACAATTATTAACTGTGACTATTATTCTCAACTTTTGTTATTTTAGGCCCTACTCGACTCACATATAGATCGTCAGTCAACATATAAACAAGTTGCATGCCGGTGGCTTCGTCAGAATCCAACTAAATGGAAAAGTTGGACAGTTGATTGGGACAAAAAACTAAACTTAACGGTAGCTGGCCTATTCAGTATGTATGGGAAATGGGTGCTGTATGGTCTTGATCGAGGTCAGTTATTTTTATAAGTATAAATTATTCTGTTGCATAAATATTGTCATGCAGAGTTTCTTAAAACATGACCATATGTTTTAAATGCTTATAAGTTGTTTAAAGGTTTAGATTCTCTTCATGATACCGTTTTTCAGTAATTTTATGAATAACCAGAATGTCTCGACTATATTTTCTTACTGTGATACCAAACGAGGCTGTTTCGAATATCAGGGGAATGTAGAGTTTTTTTCGTTACTATTAAAGATTGTCGCTGTATAACATTTGTTTAATAGTATTTGGTGTTTCGTTGTTTCATTCTGCTTTGTATTCTCTCCCAATGAACTTAGTTGATTTTTTTTAAACTTTAATTTCGTTTCATAACTATCCAGTGGCTCAAGAAGCTATGAATTTTGTCAACGCCGACTCAGATTATTTTCGCAATTCTGAATATGCATTAAGTTTGGATGTACGTAATTTAACATGTGAACCTGACGTCGTGTTAAGTGATTATTTTAAAGTGTTGGAGAATGCTGTCAACACTCGTCTAATTGGTTCTATCGGTAGGATTTGATAAACGTTTTACGATATTTTAAACGTTACTTTTGATTTTGCTAAATAAAATGTTGTTAATTGTACTTGTTTTTTAAATTTTTCATCGTAGATTTTACTAAAGCGATGAGTTAGATGTGATATACATCAGTTTCATATTCACTGTTAAATAGATTTGTAACTGCAAAGCTTATATTCCTTGTTTGGCTGTGACACCTTACAGTTCAAACCGCAAACGTTATCAGTCTAACTATAACTCCAGCAGAAATGGGACGCGGTGCCTTCAACCCTCACGTCAAATTAATTTCTTCTGTAAATGTTTATGGTTGATTTAAGCAAGCAGACAACACCTGATTCTTTGCAGCTTATTTCATAAAAGGTTTATAGGAATAGATTAGTTCCTTTTTAAATTATTGGTCTTCTTTAAAAAATAGATTAGTTGAATAATTTCCCGTAAACTTCTCAGCGTAAAGCATGTAACGGTTATTTCTTTTCCTGAAAAGAGATATCAAATTTAGTATGATTCGATGTATATGTGTAGACTCACTACTTGATGGGTACACTTCACAGTCTGTGTATGTAGTGTAAATAACCAATATTATTTTTTCCCTATATCAAGAAATAGTAGATGTACTTTATGAAACAAGTCATTATCATCGATACTATCAGTTTTTTCTCCTTTATTTCAACAGTTCTTTTCCTTCTTCCCTATCACCAAGAGCACTTTACTAGTAGTCGATCCCATCTCTTTCACTGTAATTATATAAACTCCCATCTGCTAGACAACCAGTCCCATTCTTTGTTTGACGTTCTTCTTTTTATTCTGAATTTTATCAACATTATTTTATATTTCATTATAATGTATGGTCTATCCACTTTTTTAGCTGCTCTATGCTCAGATTCTATAGAAGCCGTAGTTGAATTGGCAAATATTCGCAAACAGATTATTGTTAGTCCAACAGTAGGTAGTGCACGTTTTCTGGAACAGCAACAATATCATTACTTTTTTCGTACAGTACCATCAATGACTTTGGCTAAGTAAGCGATCATAACGTTTATATAAAGCTTAAATTCTAAATATTTATTCAAATATTACTTCTATACTTAAAAGTCATGTATTGTTTTATTAAAGAAGTATAACTTAATGATTTATGACTGTCAAACTAACGAAATGAATTTTGTCCTCTGACTTGAAAGTCAATTATATTCAAGTGTGATTTCTAATAAAAAATCTAATTTTCATGTACTTTTAGTTAAAATATTAATTAATAACTTGTAATGAAACATTTTTATTGTCAGTAATTTATGACTGAGATTACTGTTTGGAATCCTGGCAAGAATTTATCAATTAGTAAAGTGCCAGTGTTTTTTTTTGTTTCAGTTCGTTCATCACCAACCTCTTTTAAACTTGTAAGTATAGTTATTACAGCTGCTTTGAATGTCCAGTCTCTATGTTGGCACAATATGAATCTTAAATATACTATCCTTCTGTTTTACTCTTAGATTAATTATTCAAAATTCTATCAATCTATTTTAAAATAATGAAGTTAATGTAGGTTTCCTTTTCAGCAAGTGCATTCTGCAAATCTGTACGATTGTGCATGATAAATTGTAGGTCATTGAATAATACTTGTTAGGATTTGATGAGTTGTAATAGAATTTAATATCTCCCTACATAATTTCAAATAAGTAATGAATTAAGTACTAAAGAGGGTCAGTCAGCAACAACTTAGATTTTGTACGTAGGTACATCAGTTCGAGTTGCCATATCACATTAACACAAAGATACTATTGTCGATTCAAATCCCATCGTGGTAATGGTAGTTAAAGTATAAACAGTAAGCGGAAAGATTAGGGTCTGAGGATGTTATTCAAGGAATATAATCCAGTGAATTAAATTTGGAAAGAGAAAAAAAAGAGATGCAGTATTCATAAGATTGAAATTTGGGAGAACACAAAGATGTACTTGCGTTATTGCAAACGATTTTGAACCATGACATTCAAAATCAGGATTTATGTATAGTATGAAATACTTAATCATTAGGACAAGCGTCGAATAATTATGATTGTTGTTAAATTGGGATGAAAGAGATGTGTAGATACTAACAAAAAATTATGAATAGGAAAAACTGCATTATAATGTTAATAATGATGAATTACAAATAAATAGAAATATTTTTGTAAAAGTGAAAGTTAAATATTCCGATCATCTTAAACAGAAGGATTTAATAAATTGTTTTTGTATGCACAACTGGAGTTTTAAATTATGAAGTGCTAAATCTTCTGTGATATGAAGTGAACTCATGTGTACATCTCTTCAAATTTAACCATTTAACTTTAGCTTCTAAATGAAAAGAATTTCGACTTTTAACACTCAATAATACTTCCTTAAATAAGATTTTTTTGTCATTTCTTTTGTCTGTTTCTTTATTTTTTCAGTTTTATACTACTTCGATTATTCCTAGTATGGGGTTGGCATCGAATAGTTGTATTTCGTAAATCGGATCATTTTTTTGAACCTTTATTATTTCAAGCAAAGGGGATTGAAATTATTGCCAATATTGAAATGGATGAACAACAGTTAACTTATAAACTGGCAAAAGATGTAAGTATGAATTTTCTGTGCGTCGTTCTTCGTATGGTTTTAAATCATTAATAGATACTTGGGTGTTAGCCATATAAGAGCTAATGGTGCTATTCAGTTACCTAAACTGAAGTAGGGGGAGCAAAATTCTAATATGGGACTTAGTGACTAAAACTAAACTATTAAACCATCACGCTGTATAGCTCCAAGCTGAGTACATAAACCTCCATGGGAAATACGAGTTTCAGTGAAAAGACTACATTTTGTTGGTATAGTTACAAGTTACTTGGAGTGTATTTGAGTCCCATATTGTGATTACTATACTTCCTAACTAGTACAAGTCGCACTAATTTGTACACATACTCATGTATGTAGTAAATTTGATAATACTTGCATGGAGAAAACCACTTTCTGGAATTTTATCTGCTGCCTCTTTTCTTTCTTCATGCGTTTTATCGAGTCATTCTTATGATTTGTTCATCTTACAGACTTTAGAAGAATTAAAGCAACAGAATAGTCGCATATTTGTTGTCGAGTATGATGCACGTGGTACCTATTTGATACTCTGTGCAGCATATCATGAAGGGATGTATTTTTCCGCTGGATACGTTTGGTTTTTGAATCCATGGCTTTCTGATCAATGGTGGTCGGAATTGGTTAGTCGAAATACTGAGTGTAATTTTAGTGAAATGCTCAATATTACTTCGTGGACTTTTACTGTTGGACACCAGTTGTTAATTGGTCCTATGGTGCACAGTTTTATTCCTCGTACTAGTGAGTTTATGGATTCAGACTCCAAGTCTGGAAATAATTCAAGTGGTACGCCGAATCGAACTTCATTTGAACAAATACGACGCAGACGCAATGTTTTTGTTCAGTCACAAACGTTCGAAGTACCACCTGTCTTATCAAGAACTAAACATAATCCCAATCCAAATGATTTTGGGAAATCTACATTCAGTGATCACTCAAAACGTAAATTAATCAAAGATCCTCTTCATGATTACACTGTGTATACTTATGATGCTGTTATTTTACTAGCAAGTGCTGTTGTTCATCTTTTACGAGAAAATCCTGCTGCAGCATCTGCTCTTAATCATCCAGATGTATCTGAAACTCTTCGAACACTTGTTGCACGTACAAATTTTGGTTATCGATTTCAGACAGATAATTCAACAACTGGACAATCTAGTGAAATAAATGAACTTGTTCCAGGTATCAATGATGATAATTTTGGTGTAGATGCTGGATTTCAACTTGCTGGTGACTATTATGGTATACGCAGTCAAAGTCCTGCTTCAGCATCAAATTTGCGATTTAATGATCATAATGAACGTATTGCTGATTATTGGCTGTTGAAACAAAGACATTTAAATACTACTGTACCGATTATAATGTGGTCAACAAAAAACTATGAAGAAGTACATGAGCAAGATCAACAACAACAATCATATGATCCATTCAATCATATGATTTCATCAAATAATATGTCAAACAAGTATGATTGGAAAACAACCAATGCTCCATTTCTATACGATGAATTTCAAAAACGGATGACTGAACGTTGGCTAGACCACGTTAATTGGCATACATTAGGTGGTCCACCAAATGATGGTTCTATCAATGAAAAAAATTGTACATTATCATTTCTTAGTAATCAATTACACATGGGTTGTACAGGTGCTACTGTATTTGTCACTGTTACTGTTACCGTTTTAGTTTTATTGCCACTGATTATATTTGCTCATTTTTATTATCGACGTAAATTAAAAGAAATTGAAAATCGAACTCGTAAACCTTTTGAAGAACTATGCACAGAATTGGCTGATTTAGATGTAAGTTATGGGCTTTTGTAGATTTATCTGTTTTTTTGCTATCAGCTATTTCCCTAAGACTAGATATATTTCGGATCGTTCATTTTTTAGTATAAAAATAAGATATTTCCCGTTTGGGCTATTTTGTAGTTTCATTTCGATTACAATTAAACTAGTGTCAATGTAATGCTATTTAAATACATTCAATGACGTTAGATGGTCAGAGGTAGTTGTCAGAAAATCCTGGACCTACGTTTCATGTTAGTTGACACTCGTCAGCAAAGCCTACCTTCAACCAATTGAAAGCTGACTCCCCTTGGTGGATCTGAACCCTTGTCACCCATATCCACAGTTTCAGAGGTTACTGTCTTTTCGAGTCACAACTGACTTCCAATAGAACCATGACATTGTAGTGTCAGTTACTATGTTAAGCTCACATACCTTATTCTAGCTTCTGCACATGCCAATTTATCCACTCTTTTTGAGTCACGTTTTGACCTTGCTAATTATTGACTTATCAACCTTGACTGTTTTTATATGAGTGTATGTGTGTGCACTTCTTATCCTATTTCTCACATGTCTGTAACTTATTTTTGTGTGATTATAAATATTGATTAACTCTTGATTAATTGGAGTTGGTTCACACGCCTCCACCGCGCGTCATTTCTCTTCGTTCTCTTCTATTCGCTTCATCCCTCCGATTTCCTGTCCAGATCAGTAAGTGTACAAAATATACATATCCAAACATCCATCCTCGTATTTGACTTATTTAGTTCCGTTATTTACTGACTTGGATTAAGTCGATGATTATTTACGAGAATTGCCAGGATGTATATTTCGACAGCAATCATTCAATAACGATTATTTGTCCTATCTAACTGGAGTCAGATCCCAGGCCACTAAAGCATCTTCGTTGACTGGTCACGGATTAGCAGTCGTCACCTGTGTTTATTCCTGTGTTGACCATACTCTATCGGCAATTTCGCATTGCTACTAATGGTCCAAAAGACTCGACTTGACAAAATGCTTGTATTGCTACTTGCTATGACTTCAGACACAACTGCTTACTTCCTACTATATAATAGAGCAAAGTCTACTATTGCTCAACTTGAGGAAGAAAAGTAAGACTGCAAATGACATGTTTATTATACACCAATCGCAAATTTATAACTGATCAAAAAGACATCAAAAATTACATTGAGATGTGTCGTTGTAAAATATCCGGTCAATAGATTAATTCAAATACATCAAACTGCCCCCAAATGCCCTGGTATGGCCGAGAGTGGGGAGAGTCCGCTCTCCCTCTCGAAATGCTCTCACATGGCCACGCGTATATAGCCTCTGCCAGGGAAGTCCTACTCACTGCCTTTTCGTGGCGGGGGTGTTGTTTACAAAAATGAGAGGACGAAAAGCGAATGTTCGGCGCTTTAACCGGATTCCAAACCAATGGTGCGCATGGGCTCCAGTATCCCACAGGAACAAATGGCGTATGAACCAATTGTTGGTCACCGGCTTCCATGGGACTGCATCTCCTTACGATGCTCCACTGCCTTGTGGATCAGACCTTCAGGTTGAAGGCTCGGGGAGTGGCCCTCTAAGAAAACCACCTGTTTCGGCCTGGGCACCGGACAGTATCACAGCCCTCACACATATCGAATGAGATTTGTGTGGCGCATATGTATTTGGTGCCTCCTTGTACCAATATCTATGTGTTAAAATAATAATAATAGTTGATATAAATTAATCATTAATTCCTTCATCATATGTATAAGTTGCAACATCATTAAATTAACTACTTTAAATGAAATCTGTAACAGCTGAGTTATGTTTTTGGTGGAGTTTTGTTCTCTGAGCTGGATGGTTTGGTCGTGGAGCTTTCATCGTTCTTCTGAACGACATCGTCAGCACAAACTTCAGATAGAAGTGAAGTGTTTGAATTTCTCCATATGTGTCTCAAAGCTCCACCAAAATCATCCACCTGAGCTACAAATTTTCTCCACCAGCTGAGTTATGTATTTGTTTTCTTGATAGACTCAACCTTTTGTGTACTATATTTTGATCCTGGCCGACCGAAAGTAGTCGGCAGGAAATACTGAACGTAGATGGTCCTAGTGCATATCCATCAGGGTGAATGGGTTCCCTAAAGATCGTAGATCTACCTTGCTGACGAGTGCCAACTATCACAAAATTTAGGTTCAGAGTTCCCTGCTGGTCACTTTCGACCACCTTACACAAAATCATTCATCAAATCTCAAGCCATCGAGGTTAACGATCACAGTACCACATTATCCATAGAATATGATCAACAGTAAGGATTAGACAAATATGAGAATGCCCACTATTCAGTGATCAACCAATGTTTACATCTGTCCTGCTAACCTTGCCAAGTGTTCTCAACCAAAATTAACACGGGGAGTCTAATTCTGAAATACTTAATGATGTAGAACAAGCAATTAGTCTTTTATTCTCAGCAAGTTATGATTCTCATTGTTTTTGAGGGGTTCTTTATTAATTACTAGTTCTTTTGTTTAATGTCTTATAAATATGAAATAAATATATAAAACTTCACGGTCTGTTAAACATATTCCACATCTGATTGTTTGACTGTTCGAATTCTGATATATATTGTATAAATAATTATAATTTGTTTTATAGACCTTCTTGTAGGCTAGTTATTCTTTCCATTTCTGTCTTTTTATGCACATGATTTCCTACTTTACGTCGCGTACACATAAATATTCCCTTTATTTATCAACAGAAACAGTCGTAGTACGAGTTGATGTAGCATTAGTAGTAGTCAAAATTAGAAGTGTTCGTAATTCCATTCTTCTCGTCTTTGATTTTTCAATGCCATTCTATAGATGCCTGCTGAAAATATTGTTTTAAATCGTCGAGTCGGTCAAGGTGCTTTCGGTTTAGTATTCGGTGGTGAAGCTAAAAAAAGTGATTTATGGGAAGCAGTTGCTGTGAAAGTAATTAATGAGAAAGCAACTTATGAAGGGAAAATTGATTTTCTTTCTGAAGCAAAATTAATGCGTTCTTTAAATCATCCAAACGTTGTTCGTTTAATTGGTATCTCCTTGAATCCAAAAGCAAGTCTATACCTGATTATGGAACTCATGCTTCTTGGAGATTTAAAAACATATTTATTATCCCGTCGAATTTTAGCTCAAAGGTAAACGATCATGTTTCTGGTTTCGTTGTCTCATGTTCGATAGAATGGTATTTTTTTAGAAATCACGGATCTATATTTCGTGTTAAGTTATGATTCACTACCGTTTTGTGCTTGACAAAATCTGTAATAGAAAATGTTCCAAATAAATTTAACAACGTATTTAGTGTAAATTATCTTGAAAATAAGTAGTGAACCATGAACCCATTCCTTATATGTATATTCTCGAAATCCGACAAGTTATTTCAGGTGTCTGGTCATTAGTTACTCAACTAAGATTTGATTTCCATTTTGACGTTCAACATAGTCTTAAGATGCGATAGAAAGATAAAGTACCCATCAAGTTAAATAAAAGACAAATTGATGTTTATGCCGTTTTTAATAACTTGAATTTTATCACTAAAATAATTCTCTGTCATCAAGATTCTTTAATCGTCAATGCCCAATACACTTTAAAGAATACAGTCTGAAAGATGCTGTAAAATTATCTTTAAGATGATGAAACAGGAAAGTGAGCGTACATTATCATTAAATATACTGATAAATTTATCAAAGATTGCCTCACAGATGGAAAAAGTGAAATCCAAGTTGTAAATTAGCATATGTACAAACGACAATGAATAATACAAAAAAATGTTAGCATAGTGAGAATTAATATTAAAGTATTCAAGTGAACTGAAATGTTTTAAACCATGTTAATGTAAAATTACTTTGGAATTATGTAACTGGACTTCATTATATCTTCAAGTACTGACCTGTTATTTGATCTTGTTCAAACTGGACATTAGTGATTAATGGCTTTACATTCCGTACAGAAGTTAGAAATTGAAAACAAACAACTTTGCTTTTGTGGTAACACACAATAACATTGGTACTCATAACCAATCGGTTAACAACAAAGGCTATGGCGAATGCCATCGAGGTTATTATTTAAATAAACAGCTGACATGTAATAACAACAAGGTAGGTTATCTGATCTCTTCTTAGCAGATCTACGTAGTCACACAATATGCGTAGAAACTCGGTTTGAAAGGGTTCGTTTTGTGTATCCATCGAATTTGTATTCAAGCAGAGTAGGTCTGAAGTTGAAGTTTGAACGTCTAAGAAGTTGGTGTTTGGTTACTTCTGCATCCTTCATGAAAGTCTTTCTGTGACTACTGAAAACAGTTCATCATATGGTTTTAGTTACTTTTTTTCCGACCATCTAGGTGATATGTTATTCTATTTTCCTAGCTTTGTGTTGTTTGTGTGATCTGCACAGATTTATCTTAATCTGGAAAATAATTGATTAGAAAATACTGGTAATGTCTGTAGGTGTTAGCATCATATTATTCTTTAAAATTATGTTATACCAATTTCTTAATGAAAGTCATCAGGGATGTGAAGATTTTCTTTATTTCTATATCATTATTTCCGACCGTTTTCTCTTGAATGTATACTTTTGATTCAGATTCGAAAATTCCAACTGGTCATAGTAATAATATAGCTGATAATCTATTTGTTAAATTTATGAGCACCCGTAACCCCTGTTTCTCCGAAATAGTTAAAAGATTATCTTTTCGTCGATGGTAATTTGTGGTACGTTAGCTTCATGATCTTATCAACTTGTTGAATAACGTAATAAGTGTGTAAATAACTTGTCGACTGACTGTTTCTATGTCCTTGTTTGTCCATTTTGTGTTGAATTATACTTTCTTGGTTGCGAATTTCTTATAGATCACCAAACCATGAAGACATACGACCATCAACTCTTACTCAAATGAGTATGGATATTGGCCAAGGTTTAGCCTACCTGCATAGTAAGCATTTAATTCATAGAGATATAGCATGTCGAAATTGTCTTGTTGCTGCGGATCGTACTGTGAAAATCGGAGATTTTGGTCTGACCAGACAAGCTGCTAAAAATACTTCAGAGGTTTACTATCGTTTCACAAGAAATTGTAAGTTATATTCGATAAAGTACGTGTTAGTATTCCTTCTAACTAAAAATGCATCTTTTTTTGTTTCAGTGTTTTATTTCATTATTCTCACTCCAATTAGAATATCCAGTATACAACTGTACAGCTTGGTAATACCTTCGTCGAAAAGAGATCCGTTCAATGAACTTGATGTTTTTAATATTTAAAGTGGAGTTGTACGGCTAGTAATGTTGATACGTTTGTATACTTCGGTAAATATTGACAGCTACAACTCCAATACGATGAATGAGACTGGTTCAATCCTACCGGCCAGCTAAGTAAAACATCGAAACTTGTACAGGAGCTTTTTTTATAGAGACCCTGGAAGAATTGAATTACATCCAAGTTTATTCAGTTATATATCGATTAATTAAAGGATTATTAATTGTAGAAATTTGTCAAACTGACTAATCATCGTTTTGCACAAATTACACTGAAGTTATAAATACTATGGAAATGTCTTTAAATCAACTGACTAGCTTCATCGTCAATAACTTTAAAAAAATTCAAAATGAATTGATAGTTAACTTCATAACAAATTCCAAGATCAATCTTACCAGAATACGTTTGATTTTGAGGATTTGGCATCCCTAACCATGCTTTCCGACGTTCAATCTTCATCATAACTACGCTTAATTCAACTTTTGCTATTCCTCGTGTTAATTTCATTTTGTAGTGCTGACTCATATATGCGTCATACTCTATGTTTATTATGACTAACTGACTGACTCTAGTTAAAAATTCATTGTATAAGTTAGTAAATTGTATGTTCAGGTCAAATATTGTCATCCCTATTCTAGGTAGTAATCATATTTCAATCATTCAACAGCTACCACTCAAAGTTTGATTGATGAATTCACATCTGAATATATATCTGACAATATTTTTATCGTCTCCATAATGTAATAAGTGTCGAATTTTATTTTATATTTATGCTCTATTGGCCAGAAATGCAACTTTTCTTACATAACCTTTGTTTTAACTTCATTTCTCAAAACCTGGAGTCATATCCATTTGTTAATTTATGATATATACTGTGATACCTTTTGTACAAACTATTCATTATATAAATTTCATGTTTCAATTTTTTACTGCGTAAAAATAATTATTATTACTGTACTGTTAATTTTAGGTGAACTACCTATTCGTTGGATGTCACCTGAAGCTGTACAATTTGGTGTTTTTAGTATACAATCGGATATTTGGTCATTTGGCATAACATTATATGAAATTATTACTTTTGGTGTATTTCCTTATAATGGTCTTGGAGATGTAGAGGTTGTGGAACGTGTCAAACGTATGGAATTCAGTATTACTGAATTTTTACCACCCCAAGCATTAAATACCGTAGTGTATGTATATTCATACTTTTATTATAGTTAAATCGTATGTATGTGTATACTCTTTATTAGCAATTTAAATATAATATACCATTGATAACGATTGGAAATATCTAGTTCGAAAGGATGAAACCGAATGTATAAAAGAATATTGGAATATATCAGAAAGATATCAATTTGTGTTGGTCGCTAAATCGTGTTACCTATTCTCTATCACCACTACTCTGTCCCGTATAATTTATTGTTTAATCTAATTCTCCTGTTTATACTGTTGTGTGTGTTTTGTTTCCTTCAGATATCTATCTACTTCAATTTTGTTTGCTTGTTTTAATCTTCCTGTAATTGCATTATAACTCTATGCATTATGATTATTTTTGTTTTAAGATGTGAATTAATTAATCATTGTTGTAAACATCAATGGCAACACAGACCATCATCAATGAATCAAGTGTTAGAAGTATTAATAGCGTATCCAGATTGTATTCGACCGTTCCTTACTGATGATCCACCGAAACCAAATACAACAATCGATTCATTACCTGTATGTGAATAAAATTTGTTTCCAGATTATCAATTTTATATTTGGTTAATTATGTTAGTAGCATTAGTATGGTGTGTAGATTGTCTAAGATATTTCGCCTAATTTACAAAAACAACTTTGCATTACAGTCTAATATGACCGCCTTAAAAATCATGCAAAACGGAAAAGAGAGCGCGAACTAGTTTTCTTATCGTAGTTTAGAACATTTCGTTGACTTTTCGTACTCATTCCAAGACATAAAGACTGAGTGTTCATACTGCTCATAAACTGTCTATTGCCGTCTAGTTATCCAAGTAATGACGGTGTTCGACTGAATTTTACTCTCATTTTTAAAAAATTCTACTTAAGCAGATGCATCATAATGTTTCTGTATCCTTCACTTAGTGTTAAAGAGAAAAATAGTTTCTTCAGTAAGTCGTAAAACGAGGGTTTGTTTCATGAGTGGTTAGTCATAAAAAACAATACCTGACACAATTGTATCGATTCAAGTTATCACACAATAACAGCACAGAGAGATGAGATTATGCAGATAAATAACTAAATCGAAATTTGTCAAAGTTGTATGGTCAAAAGTAAGAATTTTAAATGTCTTGATGATATTCATCTAAGTCCCATATTATATCTGTAATTACTGTAAACGAATGACTCCCTTAATATTCGTGAATCTCGATGTCCTCCTGTCTCAAAAATCGGTTTACCCTAGTTGTAACAGTAAAAACTTTACCAAACATACGAATTATTTATCCTTGTCTACATTTTTTTGCTTTTTCTCTGTTCAATGAAATGAATAAAATTGACATAGACATTTTTATTTCATATTTGCACTTCTTTTTCTGATCAGTTTCAACCAACTGTAGACACTTGTATAATATCAGAATCTGCAATGACTGGTCTTGCTGCAATCGATAGTGTTGGTGGTTTTCGTACAATACGTAGTGCTTCAACTGTAGTCGTTCCAATATCATCATGTTCACCTTCACCAGTACCACTAAATCTTCCTGATGGTAATAGTGATAAATATTATGGATCTGAAAAACGTCTTAGTGAACAAACAAATCTACGTGATAATACACTGTCCAACCATCATACAATTTTTGATTGGTCTGATAACTATACTTCTCATCCGTATACAGATAGTTCAGTTCATTCAAAGTTGATTGAATTTTACCAACTTCCGATGTTTTCTGACAGACAAACCTTATTTCCTCCAGTAGTAACAGATGAAAGTAAAGAACCAAATATTATGTCTAAATCTGGCGAATCATCTAGTCTACCTCCCGTGTTTGATAATTATACTACATCATTTGTTACATCTATTCCTAATGCTATTAATACATCGAATGTTTTATTCAATCTTTCGACAAGCCCTATTTCCACCACTCCGAGTTATCAGTCAATCGATGAAACTAGTCAATTAATTATGAAATCACCTGAACTAATAACTGATCAGTATACATATTCAACTGGAAATACTTTACATATTAGAAAACAGAAACGTTCAAATACTACACTTATAAACAATGCGACGTCGAATATTTTAGATGAATTTGATAATTTATTATCTGATAATCAGCTTAAGTAAGTTTAACTGTGTTGTTAAGTTTAGTGTTATTCATGTAATCCAATAGGTTAAGATTAACTATTCCTTATATTCCCATTGAAAACTAACTTTATAAACATAGTATAATTTATTGTTACGCTACAATAACAATTTATGTGTTTTTGACTCACCCACACATATTAAGGAAAAGTTTAGTATTTTGTAAGAAAACTACTATTTCCATAAAAAGCAACAATATGATGTATTTAGTCCATATTTTTATTCCATAATTAACCCGGGGATACACAGAACAAAATAACGTCTTGGAAATTAAAGCAGCTACTAAATAAAATGTGTATGTTCTTAGCTGATTAGGAAATCTCGACGTTCAGATTCTGAAATAATTTCATACTTTTTCTCTCATGCCTAGCAGACTATAAATCCGTTTATCTCTGAATCAATTTGTTTCTCAATGCAACTAGTACAAATGGTTAATGTTGAGATCATGTTTGGTTTTTCTGGCTATCAGTATCGAAAATAAATTCTCTGATGATGTTCACACCAGAACTAGAAACTAGTATTCAATGCGTTTTCCAGATGGCCACTAATCTGTGGAACGAGTATGATTTTTTAAAAAATATTGGTAAGGTTTAAATTATCTGGTTTTCGATGTTGATATCAAGCGAAATGTACTGGATTTGAGTCCCGTTGTGAGCATCAATATTGGGATGCAGTCACATCCAGATTACAAGTTCCAAGTAGGACAGAATAGGTATCTTGACTCTTGCCATAATCCATCTATTCTGTAATACGTGTTACTGTCGAGCCAATCCGTACAGAATGCACATATCCCAACAAAGACTTGTTAGGTTTTATAAGTATTAGTCGAGTTGATTGTCGAACATTATTTATTGAACTCTACTATTTTCCGTCAATCGATTCGTACTTCTTATCCGTAAATTAGTGATTCACGCTTCTAGTTAGAAAACAGAAGATACATCGTTTCGTAGTATTTTAGTTTAGAGATTATTTTCGTCTACTGATGTCAGTACTAATCAGTTTTTCCTTCCTTCACAATGTCTTTACTAAATTATGTTGTCTTTTCGAGAAATATAACTATCACCTACTGTTCCTGACTCAAGTTTATTTTTCTCTAGTTAATTAAGAACCTAGGTCAAGTGTATTCAATTTCCAACACCGATTGAGCGTCCATACTGTGAACATAGTTATTAACAAGTAGTACAGATAAAAATAACATGTTCTCATAATGGGTAATTATTTTTTACTTCTTATATTTCATCTTCAAAGGGATATTGTGAGATAGATAATTATTATCATTGAGGCTTTCTACATTTTAATATGTCATCTCTAGGATGTGTTAGTACGTTATATTTAACTGTTTATACGTAAAACACTTTACTTTTGTCATTTTACAATTCGTTCTGTCAAAATATATCGAACATGTTAAAACTACTCAATAGTACGGTATTTTAATTACATGTTCAAATCCAATAATTGTATGTGTAAAATCTTTAATAAAGATGTGACTGTTTTCAACCCATTATACTCGGTGGACTGTTCTGAAGTGAAGTTATTTTACAAAGTTCAAGGCTTTTCAATCTTACCTCCTTCGACATACCCCGATTTATGACAACACATTAGTCCTATCTCTGATTACTTTGTTAAGAGTCTCCCTGAAAGTCCCATAATATAATACTCTTCTACTGCCTCGTCTCTACATCATCTCTGTTACTACTTCTATCATTTTTCATTTACGAAACAAAAACAAATCTCACTAGGCTAAATTAATTGAGTATAGAATGGCGATCGAATGATATAGTAGAAGTTCGTCGGCGATCAATATTAAATGTGCAAGTGTATCTTTCTTGTAGTTCCCGCCCTCTTCACTGAAATACATGTTTCATGTGTTATATCTATCAACAAACTGAAACAGTCCATGAATTTCCTGAGAGTTTTTCCAAACGTTCACCAAAAGATTATCCTGTGTTGTATTTATATAATTACTAGCTGCATGTTATATTTTAAGTGTTCGTCGTTAGTTTAATAATCGTCTGATATGTTCTTTACATCATTTTCGTCTAAATTTGGTCTGACGTGACTAAACGAAAGTAGTAAGCCAGCTGTTAGCAACAAAACTGCCCTGTTTACCGAATAGCTTTTAATACACTTAAATTACATTTCTTTAATTCTGAGGCTTCTGTTTATTTCTGAGTACATTCATATTTCTTACTTTTAACAGGTTATCTTTAGATGCGGATTCGATTATGCATATCGAGGAATCCGATAGATCACATATGTGGATATCTGAGGATAAAAATTCAGACAAGCAGTTTTTTATTATTCCCAGGAACAAATTTCATATGTTTAATGTTTCTAGTGTACCTCGAAATCCCATTCAAACACGGAATATTAATCGCTTGCGACCCACTCGTTCTTTGATCAATCTAACCTCTGTACGTTATCCCAAACACTACCTACAAAATAATATTGAATCTAATCACTGTGCTTCTGTCGATCATTTCAGTTCGTTTACAAAACAAAGTGATATTCATAGTCCAGATTTAATCTTACCTCCTAGTCTATTTACTTTCATTTCTGATTCATTTATTTCCGGTAGGAAGACCGTTTAGGTCCCATTTCTTGTTTACTGTGATACTGTTAATGATATAATCTTTTAATCCGGTAGTTATATTTACACCACTCATGTATTTGCATTTGAACAAACTAACCATGTAATTTAGTTTTTTTTGCGTTATTCAATCCATTGGAATTTCCTTTGTGAGTCATCGTCTATCCATCCTGTTGTAGTGTAGTAGGACTATAATCAAGTTTCTCTACTCCCACCCATTATTAAATATTAACTGTTATCTTTCTAGTTACTTTCTACAGTAAACACACAACTGTTGATCATCAATTGCAATTTATTTTCATCGGATCTCGTTATTTTTATTCGATCTTGTTTTCTCTCAATACTGTTATTGTTACATTATTATTATTTTTTTATTGAACTTTACAGTTAAATACATAGTAATGTATTATTGTAAATGTTTCTCTCTTTATTTGCTAACCTAGTCATATCGACTAATTTTGTTCTATGGTTTTAATCTGTTTAATTCTTCAAACTTTTACGAAGTACAAATTCAGTTCTAAACGTAACTAAATAAAAAAGTAATCGCAGTTAACTTGTTTTTCTTTGTATAGATTGTTTATTTTAACTGTTAGTATAATTGCATAAATACGTACCTTGTCTCAAGACAAATTTATATTATTATTATTGTATTATGAAAATAATTTTACAATGTGTACATTATTCTGTTATGTATAGATTGTTTTGTTTTGTAAGATAAAAATGGTCAGTTAATTTCAAAGTTTAAAGTCTTATTTCTTCATTTCTTGTTGAAGTTAATTGTTTATTCTCTGATATGTTACTTTGCTTTTTTTTACTGTCATCATCAGTTAACTTGTTTAATAGGAAATTAAGGTGTAGTGTACATTGTGTGTGTTTGCACAATGATTTTTTTCTATCTCATGTGTTTTTTTTTTAATAACTATAATAAATTCGAAACTATCTTATCGACTTGACATTATTTACTTTGAGATTGATATCATTAGATAATCAGTTCGGTACAAGATTTTGTTTGTTTAGTTTTAAACATTAAAGAATAAATAGAGTTAATTCACACAAAATAATAGTTAATTACTGATAAGCCTTTTTCTTCAGATCTATTTGCAATTTGATGACTACCTTCCAACTTTCTTTGTGTCCAGCGACTATGAGTGTCCCAGAGCGTCTCTTTCATTGGAGTATCTGTAATTATCTACTTTGGAAGATTCACTTGTCCATCTACAGTTTTCAACGTGCTTTTTTTCTGTGGATTTGGTTGGTGTGTCTTATTTGTATTCCAAATGTCCCGCGTACTTTATACAAGACATCTTCTATTATCTTCTCACTGACTCCAGGTTCCCACTGGTTTTTTCCAAGGTATGACTTTATCACCCACGTTAAAACTTCGGATATTCTGGTTTTGCCTGCGTCTATCTATTGGTTCAGGTGGCAACATGGCGTGAAATGTAATTTCAATACTTCTTTCCATCTGTGACAGTAGAGTTGGGCTGTCAAGAATTTTGTAATTGCCTAACTTGTCCCCTCGTCTCCAGTAATGCTACTTTAAATGTGTCAGATCCTTACACGTCACTAACCGGGATTTGTAAATATGCTTTCTACAAATCCAACTTTGCAAAGAACTTGCCTCCATTCAGCCTGACAAGATCTTCAGGTAGGTGTAAGGGGTATTGATGAAATCCTAGGGCTTCGTTTAGCCAGGTCGAGTAACGGACTCTACCGTCGGTCTTCTTTATATAGCTCTCTGAGTGCAGCCCATTCTGAGAAGTTCAACAATACCCAATTTATGAGTTCGTTCGACTACTGGGAGGGCAGCATATGGTAACGGTCGTTTGGGTCAAAACGCTGTCGAAGGGCAAGAGTAGCCCTAGGTTTAGTACATTTTCCAAGCCACACACTAAACACCATTTTATATCGTCCCAATAATGCTTCCACTCTCGTTGTACCGATGTTGTTGCAGATGATGTTTACGGGCGGTCTGTTATCTTCAGCCTCTCTGTCCAATCAAGTCTCAATAAGTCTGCTGGTGAAAGTTCTGTCAGAAATACTACTCCCTTATCTGATATGTTGTTGACTGTGACTTCACAATCTATCGCTTTAACAATGATGAATCCGGATACCGTTCTATACCATCGAACTATTTTGTTTCAAATTCACCAATCTTCGGCGTTCAGGAGGTACTTCTTGCAGGGTAGCACCGGGACAACTTCATGGTTGCTTACGATTTTCGTTTGGATATCAGCATCCCCGGTGAATGTAGGCCACACACATACAAAGCAGATAAACTGGTCTTCCATATTGGGAGACGAGTGAACCGCTTACGGTTCCGGCATACTTCATCCAGTCACCTGCTGTTTTCTCGTTATATTCAAGCATTGGTAACGGATATTAAAAAGAGATTTAAGACAGATCTTCATATTTCTTAAACCGTGTGTGACTGAATCTGTATACGTTACTAGTAGTTCATAAAATCTGTGTTTTGCAGGGATAAGCACATTTTCTGCATAAGGGCTTGTTACGGGAGAACTGAAGATATTTGGCTGAATAAAACTTTTATATTAAATATTATTTTCACTAATTTTGGATGTATTTGTTTTACTCAACTTCCGAACTTGTTTGTTTATATCATTATTTTCGTACATTTTGGTTTCTCTTTGTCTTTTGTTTGGTATTCGGGAGTTTTTTCTCCGCGAACCTATAAAATTGTAGGTTTGTTTCTATAATTGTTATAATCATTGTTGGAACGACATTTGAGTCGAATATTTGTAAATTGCGAGTAAGCTTTAGTACCAAAATTGGAGCTTGGTCCTATTGTTAATTTGGATTTTTAAATTGCAATTAGATCGATATACCGTACTTCAGTAACAGGAACGAACAAAAACTAGGACGTAACATAAAGTTCTTCAATTATTGGTTCTGTGTTCTTACCTTGGATTTGTCTCGACATTTTGGGTCCAATTTCCTGGTTCTTTTCGTCGGTTTCGTTTGGATTAATTCAGATTTGTTTTGGTAATCGATTCTTTTGGAACAAAGACACGATGGAAACACAAAGCAAAAGATCGAAGGAAAATGACGAGGTGGAAAGTAAAATTTCTAAAGCTGTTTGTGTTATGTCTGATGTTAATGATGATAAACGTGATGATGTCAGTATTAATAGTATGTACTCTGATCAGCTTAGTACTTCTAGATTAAAGTTGAGTAAAGCATTACTAAGAAAGAGGAACTTAAAAAAGAGACTTGAGTCATAAAGGCAGCTTAAGTTGTTAGATCTCCAAGAAGAGGTTGATATGGCTGAATCAGAATGTAAGGTCATGGAGGACGATGACTAGCTGCCCATAGACAAGTGTGAGATGAACGCTAAGGTTGAAAGTTATTTGAACTGTGATATTGGTTGTAATAATCATTCAAGGGAGATATTTAACATCTCAAAAGGCGATTAGGTTGATGAGTTGAAGGATACGTTACATACTATCTTTAATAATATGGTTTTACCTAAGATTGATATGATGTATTTTGATGGACAACCAGGTCAGTACTACCGTTTTATTAGTCAGTTTACTAGCATTATAGACAGTGAACTATCCGATAAGGGTCAGTTGTCGTATCTGTTATATTATTTTAGAGGAAAAGCCAGAACAGCTATTGAAGCATTCATTTCTCTACCCAGTCATTTGGGTTATGATAAGGCTAAATGAATTCTATATGATCTATTTGGTAAGGAGCACCTTGTTTCAGGAGAACTAATTACTGAGTTATTAAACCACAAATCTGTTGAGGGATCGGCTGACGTATTAACTGACTTCGCGATTAAGCTACGTAATGTATGTATTACGTTAAAGGAAATGGGGTACATGTCTGATGTTAATTCTACGGCTAATTTGGAAATAATAGTTGCATTGTGGTGTGAGCTACTTATATTGATATAAGTAGTATATAACGTGCGTTAAAAGAACGTAATGTCTGGCAGCAAAAGATGGCGAAGATCAAGAAAGGTGGAGCGAGAACGTAATGGAATTTGTAAGAAAATCTATGAACAATGGAATGTGAGACAATGGGTTGGTGTTTGCAACAGAAACAATCCAATTTGGTTTGATGCGTGAATATTTTGCAAATTGACGATTTAATATATGGTATTCAGATATTGTTGAAATAGACTGTAATTGTTGTGCTAAATACATCCCTCTGTCCCCACTCGTGTTCTTGTTCACTACAGCATGTCTACCACTAGAATTACAGAATAAGCGTTTGGAAGTCGCCGATAAGATCATGATGCAGGGGAAGGGGCCGAGCTTTGAAGAATTTGTGGTCTTTGTAGAAGAGATAGCCAGAATCGTTCGAACACGTTATGGTAGATTGGTATTGTGTTACTCAAGGTTCGAGAAAAGGAATTATGAAGGCCAAGTTGATAGGAGATCAGGCCTTCATGCAATTAGGCGAGACCCAGACAACTCAGTCAAGGTTTCACGTTGTGAAATCTGCTTAGGTGATCATAAGGCGACAGATTGTCCAAAGTTAACAAAAATGAATGTAAGAGAAAGGAGACTGGATGTAAGAAGATATGGCCTATGTTATCTATGTTTGAGAAAATACCACATAGCCATGTCATGCAACTCGGGCTTCAAATGTTACACATGATTATTGATAACCATGTGGCGAACCTAGTTAAGGATTGTTTAGGTATTATTCCGATCTGACCATACGGTCACAAGGGATGCTTGGAAACATACGCCCTTCTAGATGTTGGTTTGGATACTTCTCTTGTATATGAAGAGTTAATAAATCAGTTGGGTCTCAAAGGTAAGTAGACTTCGATAAAAGTGATGACTGTGAATGGAACTACTACTTGTGAGTGTCTTGAAGTGAATTTAGAGGCATATCCATTAGATGAACGAGGTTCTTTAAGGATCAACAAGGCTTATACGACCAAGAAGCTTACGATTGATTATACAGAACCTTTAACCGAACTTCAGCTGAGACGGTGGAAGCACTTAAATGACAACCCTTCCGAGGTTGCAAAGTAATCTTGTAGGAATATTGATTGAGTGTGATGATCCAGATGCAAAAGTGATTCTGGAACAACGCCTTGGAGACAGGAAATATCCGTCTGGTATGCGTACGCATCTCGGTTGGATGATTATAGGCCCTAAAGTAGTATCAAGGTCTGTACCTCGAGTTCAGTGGTGTCATTGTTCTACTAATGATGTTTAGCGGGATATAAAAAGATTACATAATCATGAGTTCGAAGATGCAGACGTGTTTCTTAATGGATATTCAGTTGAAAACAATAGAGCTCTAGAAATAGTTAGTAGTTTCTTTAGACTGGAGGGCTGTGATTTCCAAGTTTCTCTACCGTTGAAGTATGATAAGCCAAGGATACCAAATAATTTGGAACTAGTTGAACGCAGATTAGAGTGTTTATGTAAGAGGTCCATGAAAGATAATAGTCTTCTGGAGAAATATCAAGTTGTGATGAATAAACATATAAGGGAGGGTGGAGTTACTGACCAGCAAGCATTGATGGTGAGGGCGATAACTTCAATCCACCCATGCTTGTGGGGACAGAACATTTTGTATGTATCAGGCTCCTCATGACTGAGAATAATTCAATCAATCTGTGATATAGATTGTTTTCCTACGCTCACCACTCAAACCCATGTTTCCAATATTATGCTGGATTAGCTATTCTACTAAGACAACCCATAACATGCTAACTCGGATTTTTACACTAGGATTGTGTGGCTGGCATTGGAAAAACAAAAAAATGAAAAAAAAAGTTAAACAATAAAAGATGTAATCATTAATATTCTTAACACTTCACCCTCTATATACACACCCTTCTTATAAACCGCTTTCCTAGTAACAGCCTTGACTTCCTTTCCTTCATGTGAGCTTACTCCAACTTGTTAAACATCACAACTCATTGTTCTTTATTAGTACATTCTAAAATATGGAGCCT